GAGTCTTCTCCGGGCTGCTCACTGCTGGAGTCTTCTCCGGGCTGCTCACTGCTGGAGTCTTCTCCGGGCTGCTCACTGCTGGAGTCGCCTTCTTATTACTGGACTCACTCTCCCCCATACCAGCGTTTCGACTACCAGCAGAGATGAACGCTGGAGATGACATTTCCGGGATGGTACTATTCTGCGGTGCTGCTGAACTAATGTTCGCCGATGTTAACTGATCCAGATGTCTTCTCCACAAAGTACCATCAACGTCGACCTTGTACGTCGACGTCGATAGTGGGCCTGTCTGGGAATGAATCTGCCCGTGCACCCACATGTTTCCCCGGATACGATAATCACGTGTAATCACCGTCTGTCCCACTTTCAGCCGCCGAACACCAGAATCTCGAGTGTTCATGCTCATCTGCTTACGTTACACTATGTGTGCCAGATTCGGCTTCAACACATCCAAACGTGTTCGTATGTTGCGTCCATACAGCAGCATGGATGGCGATTTATTTGTCATCGCATGTGGTGTGATGCGATATTTCCATAGGAAACAGTTCAGCCTCTGGTTTACAGAACTGCCTTGTGCTGCCTTCATGGCACGTTTGAACGTTTGGACAAAACGCTCTGCCTGGCCATTTGTTCTCGGATGAAATAGCGCCGACGTCGTATGACGAATTGTGTTAGCCATCGTGAACTACTTGAATTCTTCTGAACGAAATTGAGGACCATTGTCCGAGACAAGCTCAACTGGAATCCCCTGACGTGCAAAGAGGGTTCTCAGTTGGTTGATTGTGGCTGTGCTAGTTGTACTCTGTGTATGGAATACTTCCGACCACTTCGAATAGGCATTTACGACTATCAGAAACATCACCCCTTCCAACGGGCCTGCAAAATCGATATGTAACCCATACCAAGGTGCTCCAGGCAAACTCCACAGGTGAACAGGTGAAGCTGGCAGTGTGTTCTGCCTTGAGACGCACCCCCTACATGCTTTGCACATTGTCTCAATGTCTCTGTCAATGTGTGGCCACCACACATAGGAGCGCGATAGCATTTTCATCTTGACAATGCCAACATGCCACGAATGTATCTCGTCCAGAACTCTGGATCGCAGCGATTCAGGGACAATCACCCTGTTTCCCCACATAAGACACCCTTGATGCACATTCAGCTCGTCCTTGCGTGCCAAGAAATTTGCCAAGTGCAAATCGCTGTTCTTTTGATCAGGAAAATGTCCGCTCATGACAAAATCCAACAATTGTGACAAAACTGGATCACGTCTCGTTTCTGTTCAGATTTTCTCACACGACACTGGAATGCCCTCCCAATGTGTGGTATAGAAAATTTCAACTGGGTCACTGTCTCCTTCGAATGTATCCACTTCCGCCAGTGAAAGTCGCGAGAGTGTGTCAGCATTCAAATGCTTCTTGGTGCTTTTGTACTCAATGTCGTACTGGTAACTTGACAAAAACACTGCATACCTCTGCAGTCTTGCAGCTGTCATGACGGGTAGTGCCTTGGACGGGTTAAATATACCGGGTAATGGCTTGTGGTCCGTTACAAGCGTGAACCTATGTCCGTACAGGTACGCGTTGAATTTCCGAACACCCCAATACAAGGCCAAAGCTTCCTTGTCTATTTGGGAGTACCCTTTCTCGGCTTTGTTCAACGTTCGCGACGCAAATGCTATCGGTCTCTCTGTGTTGTTGGGACACACGTGCGAGAGTACACATCCAATGCCATATGGTGATGCATCGCACGCTACCTTCATTCGCAGTGACGGATCAAAGTGACACAGTACCTTTTCAGAGCATATCATGTCCTTGATTTGCTGAAATGACATTTCACACTGAGGGGTCTATTCCCACTGTTTGTCGTCATGCAACAGATCATGCAATGGTGCCGCAACTATCGACAAGTTCTCTAGGAAACCGTGGTAATCATTTACGAGACCGAGAAAAGCACGAAGCTCTGTCACGCTCTCAGGCCTCCTTGTATCCCTCACTGCTCGGAGCTTCTCGGGAGACTTGTGCAATCCTTGTGCATCTATTTCGTGTTCACAGTAACTGATTCTGTCTTGGAAAAATTTTAATTTATCCAAGTTTGCTTTAAGTCCGTATGACTCCAACCGTTCAAACACCATCTTCAGGTTGCTCAAGTGTTCATCATCCGAACAACCGGACACAATGATGTCATCTACCATACATTGTGTGAATGGAACGTTCTGTAGGACCTGGCCAATCGCTCTCTGCCACTGTGAAGGTGCACTTGACACACCAAAAACTAGGCGGTTGTAACGGAATAATCCCTTGTGCGTGTTTATAACCAGCATGTTTTTCGACTGCTCTTCCATTTCTATCTGGTGATACACGTGGGTTAGGTCAATCTTGGAGAATTTTTGTCCACCCGCCAAACTAGCGAAGATGTCTTCTATTCTTGGTAGTGGGTACTTATCTACACACATAACTGGGTTCAGTGTCATGCGGTAGTCTCCACAAATGCAGATTTGTCCATTTTTCTTTACTGCCGATACGATGGGTGTTGCCCATTTACTGTTCGACTGGTTCGATTATACCTTCTTGCTGCAGATTTTGTAACCCGTTTTCGATCTTGGACCTCAACACTCAGTCACTTTCCGTGTTCGTGTCCTTGCCCAGTTTTGTATTGAATGGGGCCCGTGTTATAGTTCAACCATGGTATGATTTTATACCCAATACCCTATAAATATTCACTCTGTCTTGGGCTACCTTGTATCACCATGTAAAATTGTCTCAACTTAGGTCATACTGATGTATTGACATGATTGTCAATAAATGAAGTAAAAGAACTTCAGAAGTGAAAGGGATAAGTAGGTTTTGATTACAGTATACTAGGCCTATGTTAGCATTACATATACATAGACAATTACATTTACATTTACAATTACATTACATAGACAAGGTTGTGCCATGGCAAGTTGCTATACCATGACTATGTTCGACAGCGTGTTGGTTAGCTTCTTCATCATCTGAACCATTATCATACTCATAATTGTATCAGGAATATGTCTATTACCATTTGGAAGGTTTAGTTCCAAAATTTCATCAACTAATTCCAAGGAATTTCACTTTTGCATGTTTGGCCTATTTTAGCGCCAAAATAGGGCATTTTTAAGAATATGTCAAAACTCATTGCATACCATAGCGTAAATGAAAAACAAAAAAACTTTTTTTTACTATAAATCAACTTCTACATCTCTGCTTCAGAATAGACACACTCAGACCAACAAATAACCATTGGTAACGATTCTGTAGGGCATTTTTTGACGGGGTCCGATTTTAAGCAGAGGTCAAATTTCATGACCCTTTGACCTCTGCTGACCTACATACACAACAGATTTGCATATAATGGATATAAAGTGTAGAGGACAAAAATACCAACATTTTGAGGGGTAATTTGTCACTGTATGTCCATTCCTTGCAAAATTATTCAATTTTATATTTCCCCTACACCATAATTGGCGCCTGCCGCTCCACCACGAGTGCACATATACAAGTGGCAATTTCTACCATTAAGCTGTGAGTCTCATACAGCTCGGCTTGCTTCATGTTTTATTTTCATCTATGGACATAGGCCTTTCAAAAAAATATAGTGAGGATTTGCCACCCCAGGTGGTACCAATTGATGAAATTTGGGGGTCTGGCTCATGGACTATAACGCTAACATGTCTTAGAACCTTCGTACTTGGCTATATTCACCAAAACATGCATGATTCGAGTTTTGATTACTTGTTTTGATTACTGCTGCTATATCTTGGTATATGGATAGCACCAGCTAACGGCCAATTTCAAAATAAAAACAGAATAATTTCAATAAACTACACAGAATCAGATGTAACTTGTTGGTAAGCTAAGGCGCCATTTGCAAATTCATTGTCGCTATAATCAAATATGCCATGGTGTTACAGTATGTTCAATTCCATTTTTCTATGCTATAACAGCATCAATTCTTTCCAAATGGTGTAATCAGTAATATATCCGCTATGAGGTGAGACTATATTTTGTTCGGATTGTGCGTTTTGGAGCAATGCTTTGGTAATAAACCCTAATGATGCGCACAAGTTTTTGTGTCCAATCGATGCGCCAGCACTGCGTATATTGGATGTCGCTGTTGCTGCAGGCGCGCTACCACCACGCGAAGGTGAGCGTCGTGAATCGTGCAGGACACGTGCAGGCGGTGCTCGAGGGGCTGGAGCGCGACATGGAGCTGCTGTGTGTCACCGGCGTCGAGGACAAGCTGCAGACGGATGTGCGGCCGACCCTCGAGCTGCTGCGCAATGCAGGCATCAAGGTACGCAGCACAACGTCGGCTTGTCCGCAATGAGCACAACTTATGTTTCAAATGTAAATGTCTAGAAAGATTCGTCTAGAACAATTTTTGTGTAGAATTTAAATGATTTAGGACATGATGTGTAATGTAGAATAGTATGTTATTATCAAAAAATATTTTATTTTAATTAGCATATAATAATGATTTTAATAGAGAGTAATATTTAACCTAAAATATGCATATGTATACATACATATGCAGTGGCGTAGCCAGGGGGGGGGGCAATGGGGGCGGTCGCCCCCCCCCCTAAGATTTAGAAGGTGAAAAAAATGATATCCTTGTTTTGTTAAAATATCTACATCAACACACTGCTACCTTATTTAAACCAGCAGGACGGTTCCAAGTCGATAAAACATGCCAACAACATGCACCAAATTGCACCATTAACAACATCAAAATGCAAAAAGCTCTCACTCCCACCCTTCCTTGGTCGCTCCGCTCCCTCAAACTTATTGCCGCCTCCCCTTAGATTTAATCCTGGCTACGCCGTTGTAGATATGTACCTACGTACGAACGCACATATGGACACGTATTTTTGTCACATATTACAATTATTATTAATAGAACTGCACAATCTGCGATGCGTAACTAAGATCAGTAACTGATATGATCAATCAGTTGACGACATCTTGTCACGGCAGGTGTGGATGCTGACAGGTGACAAGATGGAGACGGCGACATGCATTGCGAAAAGCTCGCGGCTCGTGTCTCGCTCTCAGACCGTGCACACGCTCGCGCCTGTTGCGACGCGCACCGACGCACACCTCCAGCTAAACACATTCCGCCGCCGCAGCGACTCTGCCCTCGTTATTACGGGCGAGTCCCTTGAGGTAAAGTGGGTGGGGCAGGGGCGGTGGTGGTAAGGCGGTGGTGGTGAGGCAGGGAGAGAAAACAGGTTGGGACGGGGGCAGGGTCGGTTGTGGTGGTGAGGCCAGGGGTGGGAGCAGGGACAGCAAACAGGTTGGTACGGAGATGGGGGCAGGGGAGGCTGTGGTGGTGAGGCGGGGGTGGGAGCAGGAACAGCAGACGGGGGTTGCTGTGGTGGTGAGGCGGGGGTGGGAGCAGGAACAGCTGACGGGGGTTGCTGTGGTGGTGAGGCGGGGGTGGGAGCAGGAACAGCTGACGGGGGTTGCTGTGGTGGTGAGGCGGGGGTGGGAGCAGGAACAGCTGACGGGGGTTGCTGTGGTGGTGAGGCGGGGGTGGGAGCAGGAACAGCAGACTGGGGTTGCTGTGGTGGTGGCAGGGCTGTGGACAGGTGGTGCAGTGGTGTGGTATGTTGTGCAATGTAGGCAGGTGTGTGAGATGGGACAGAGTCGCAGTGTAGTGACCAGTGGGAAGGGATGGGGCAGAATAGAGGGTGATGGTGCAGGCAGAGGTGGAAATCTGGACAAGGGGCAGGGCAAGTGAGCCAAAGGCTAGGGTGAGTAAAGCATTGGTGATTAACACGTCACATTATTACCATTTTTAGCTCGCCTTGACATCGTCAAGGTGAGCTATTGCCATGGGGTGTCGTCCGTCGTACATCCGTCCGTCCGTCAACATTTGGCTACGGTCCAAGATAACTTAAGAACCGTTTGACCCACATGTTTCAAATTGCATATAGATGTTACTCCTATGGGAGAGGTTTGAACGTCCTATTTTGGAGCACGCCAGTCGACCTACTTTTGAGCCAAGTCCACTTTTTGGCAAAAATGGAAATGGCCATAAGTCAGTTTAGGTTCAACGGATTTTGCTAATTTCTGGTATGTGAATGAATAAGGACTGGCCCTAAAACATATCACACGGGTTTTGATTTTTTGTTGTTGAAATTATGCAAATTAGGTAGATTTTAGCAATTTCACTATGCATTTCAGTGTCAGCCTACGGTCAACGATAACTCAAGAACCGTTTGTCCCACATGTTTCAAATTGCATACAGTTGTTACTCCTATGGGAGAGATTTGAACGTCCTATGTTGGAGCATGCCAGTCGACCTAGTTTTGAGCCACGCCCACTTTTTGGCAAAAATTAAAATGGCCATCTAGATTCATTCGATTTTGTTAAATTTTGGTATATGAATGTGTAAGGCTAGCCCCAAAACAGTTGTTACTCCTATGGGAGAGATGACAACGTCCTATTACGTTTATTTCGTCTAACTGGTTAACAACTCTACAATCATACATATATACGTGTAATATTGTGTTTTAGATTCTTCGTTACAGTAATTTGACTGGAATATTTTATTGTTTTTATTTGCGCGATATTCGAAAACCAAAATGGTGATCATTTAGGCGTAGCGCCATCTCTCATCAAGATTTCAGACTTTCAGATCTGAAACATTTATTTTTGCATCAAAACTTATGCATGTATCATTATCAAGAGTATATAATGGGAGATATGCTATATAATGGGAGTTCTCCCATATATACTCTTGCTTTATATATCCCCCCTCCCTCTTCTATCACACCCAAGGTGAGCTACAGTGTCATTGACACTTTCATTCACAAGACACTGACAACCAATCCGTGAGATCCCCCAGAGTATCCCTCTCGTGATATGTAAAGAATGTACCGCTAACGCTTTTCTCATCAGTGGATTATGACTATTGCAGGTGTGTCTTAAGTACTATGAGCACGAATTCATGGAGCTTGTCTGTCAGTGTCCAGCAGTTGTCTGCTGCCGTTGCTCACCGACGCAGAAGGCCGACATCGTGCGTCTGTTGAAGACGCACACGGGCAAGCGGACGTGTGCAATCGGTGACGGCGGCAACGACGTCAGCATGATACAGGCGGCGCACGCTGGCATCGGCATCGTCGGCAAGGTGCCACGCGTTACGCTCTCTCTCACGGCTTCCTGTCTGTCTGTCTGCCTGTAGGCCCGCTTACTAAGCTAAGTTTCTGGTTTGCCTGCTCCCATGTCTGTCTACTTGTTTGCATGCCTACCTTCCTGCTGCCTTGCTATCTGTCTTCTTATCAGTTTTCGTGCCTGCTTGCTCCTAATCTATCTGCCTGCCCCGATTTCTGGCTATCTTGAGTATTGACTTATTTATACTAATTTATACAATAACTAGCAGGACACCCGGCGTTGCCCAGGAAATAAAGTGCTCGGATGACGACAACTTGGTTGAAAGAAAAATACACAAAAATATATCTATCCATCCATCCATCAATCTATCTATCTATCTATCAATCTATAAATCTATTTATCTATTTATCTATGTATTTATCTTTTTATCTATCTAACCTATCAAAAATATATCTATCTATCTATCTATATAAATATCCATCCCATCCATCTATCTATCTATCTATAAATCTATTTATCTATTTATCTATCTATTTATCTATCCATATATCTAGCTATCTATCTATCTATCTACCTAGATCTATCTATCTATCTATCTACCTATCTATCTATCTACCTATCTACCTATCTATCTACCTATCTATCTATCTAACCTATCGAAAATAGTCTTGCACACTCTGTATCAAGTCAGTGCAAGGTGAATGTTGTTACGACCATGACATGGCGGATGTAACATAATGCATGTATATTAACGCAATGTAACGCGCATTGTACAGTAATGCAAGTCAGTGCAAAGTGAATCCCGTTTATTTAGTGCTGCTTCAGGGGCCCGTTTATTTAGTGTGTCCACGCACCTTGAGAAATTCTGAGAAATTACGAGGTTATCATCGCAAAACTCCCGACACCGCCCATCCTGATGTCACAAAGCTATATGTAAACAAACAGGCGTGTTGCGAGGTGCCTGCCTCCGATATCCATTTTGAGGCCCGCTAAGCCAAGCATAAAGTGCGCGGGCAAGACGGCACACACACAGCTACGTTCATTGGCTAAAACAATCGAGTAGCGCGGTCAGGGATTTTCGGAATTCTTTCATTTTAAGAAAAACTTCAATGTTTAATGAGTGACGCACTCGTTCACTTCCGAAAGCGGGTCAAAATGCCGAATTTTTCCACTTTGATGCAAAATGCATCGGCCGGGCCTTTCATTACTTACGAAAAGCAAACAGTCTCGCCAAACACCTAGACGCAGTAACTGGTCACGTCGTTGATGCCCCATTCAGTGTCAATCAACGAAGAAGGCGGGGCTTATTCCGATTACGGAGATGCGTTAATGCAACAAAAGGACGTAGCGCAGTGCGCTTAATGGCGTGCTATTTTCTTTTTTGTGCCAAACTCTATCGTAAGAAACCGTTCTAGCCTAGCAGAATGCCCTAGTTCTCGAGATCGGCGATTCCGTACCTCAATGGGTGCGGCGTACGCTGTGATTGGAAGACACAAATTGTCAATCCTCGGCGCGCCTCGGCATCATGGCCGCATCACGTCCAGCGTAAGGGGCGGGTCATCACCATGGCGATAAATAACAAGACGTTTTTGTGGAGTAATGGCTGCGTCAATAACTGGAAATGCGAGAAAAGACAGTAGAAGGAAAAGAAATTTCATTGTCAATGAATGACGGAAACATGCGAGGTTTCCCGAAGCTATCGCCAGAACGAGAGAGAGTTGCAGCAACTACGTATCTCTAGTCGGTTTTTGGCGAAAATACCACATTTTCACTGCTAATTATCTCAGCGTAGAGGCATTGTAGGGACAAGCGGTTTGTTTTATATTAGCAAGGTAGGACAGCTGATCAATAATACCACAAAGAATCATCAAAATAAAACGGGCAAAGTTTATTAATTCGACTAATACTGCAGCATGGTTTCAGCATTTCACTGTTGTACGCTCTCCTTCTTAATACGCTCTTGATAGATTGTAAACTGATCCTCATTGCGATTACACTTGGTTTGACTTCTATAATGATTGTTGCTTGCAGGAAGGGAAACAAGCATCATTGGCTGCTGATTTCTCGATCATTCAGTTCAGCCACATTGCAAAACTGCTCCTTGTTCACGGGAGAAACAGGTATGTTACAGATGCTAAGTGTATGTGTTGGACAATAGCCAGAAACGTATCTTCTCTGAGACAAGTTAACGTTTTCGCAGTGGATATTTCTAGGCAATCGTGAAAGTAACTAGAACGGCTGGTAATTATGCAGTCATGAACATGAATTGTTTAACAATGGAGGTAACCATATATTTGATAACAAATCAGGTAACCATAACATAGCTAGCGATACAGGTAACCATGACACAGCTAACAATACATGTAACTACACGAATTGGGTAAATCACATACATGACACATACACAGGCATGCACACATTTAATTACATACTACTGCTGTCTGTGCATAAGAGGACGTGTTAGTGTTGTTGGTTCTGTTGCCATTATTTACAGCTACAAGCGCTCTGCATCGCTAAGTCAGTTTGTGATGCATCGGGGTCTCATCATCTCAGCCATGCAAGTCATCTTCTGCTCAGTCTTCTATTTTGTCTCCATACAGATGTTTCCCAGCTTCTTGATGGTCGGGTAAGAGTTGCATTTGGATAGGCTTACTGACAATGCCTCCGAGTGAATAATGATCTATAATATTATGCAATTCATTATAAAAACGTGTTTTGTGTGAACATGCATTCTTCGTTATTTGGACGTATTATTTGACATTATGAGTTTAAAGGTATCAGGTCTCAATATTATTGTAACATATGTTTTACAGATGTTTACATAGAGTAGTCGGTGGAGTTAGACTAGGGGTTGTTTTTGTAATAGTCTATCTAGACACAACATCGCGCATCTTGTTGGAGAATTGTACACGTGTTTTAGGTCGGGCGTTTCTAGGGTCATTGTGAAATGGAGGTAGGACGCGGTCTGGGAGAACGGGTGAGATGTGCGCGCAGGATGTAGAGGTTTTGGGGGTAATATATAGAAGAGAGATTAGAGAGACGGGGAGAGATGGGGAGAGACAGAAGCCTCGTCTACACGACGAACCTTAACTCGAGTTAAGCTAACTCGAGTTAAGCGTTAACTCGAGTTAGCAATTATGTAGCGTCTACACGACAACACCCGATAGCGATTATTACCGATTTCTTATGCATGCGTGCGTGCGTGTGTATGTACAGTCGGTTTCGGTGCGTGCTGTGAGATGCTGTGCACGTGCACGTGCGTCTGCATGCGTGGAGTGATGGTGAGTGATGGCGTGGCGTGGGTGCGTGTGTACCTTACCGGTTGCGTGCATCGCGTGCGTGTGCACGTTACCGGTGCGTGCATGAGTCTGGAGTGTGCGTGCGGTGTGGACGTTGAGACGTGCGTGCGTGCGTGTTGTGCGTTGGTCGCGTGTGCACGTTACAGTGCGTGCTGAGTGCTGTGCGTGCATGTTGCAAAGTACGTGGCGGTGTGTGGTAGTGTGTGTGTCGTACACGTGGTTGCGTGGTGCGTGTGCACGGGGTACACGTGCGTTGCATGCGTGTGCATGCAGTGAGTGATGCGTGCGTGCGTGGCATGGACAGTACACGTGTGGTGAGTGCTGTCTCCGTGCGTGCATGCGTGCGTGTGCACGTACACATGCGGTGCGTGTGGTACGTGCGTGCATGAGTGTTTGCGTGCGTGCTTGCACGGAAGACGTGTGCGTGCGTGCCCGTGCTGTGCGTTGATGGTGTGTGGCGTGCGTGCGCGTGACTGCATGCGTCGAGTGCTCGTGCGTGGTACAGTTATACGTACCACGTGTCACCGTATCTGCACATGTGCGCGGTGCTGCGGTGGTTACCTACACGTGTGTGCATGCGTGCGTTGTGCACGGACACGTGCGTGCGTGAGTGTGTGGTGCGTGTGAGTACAGTCGTGCTTGGCGTGTGTGCGTGTGTGTGTGCGGCGTGGCATGTGCCACGTAGACGTGCGTGTTGTGTGTCCTGTGCGTGCGTGCGTGTGCGGTACACGTGGGTGCATGCGTGGTGTGTTACCTACGTGGTGATGTGCGTGTGCAGTTACAGTGCGTGCATGCGTCGTGGAGTCCGTGTAGTGCGTGCGCTGCGTGTGTGTGCGCTGTGTGCGGTACCGCGTGCGTGGCGTCGTGCAGTGGGGGGGGGTGCACGGTACACGTGTGTGTTTGTGCGTGCTGTGAGTACGTGCGTGTGTTGTGGCAGTAACCACGTGCCTGTGGTGCATGCAGCATGTGCCATCGTGCGATGCTGTGCGTGTGACGGACATGTGCGTGAATGAGCTATGTGCGTGGTGTGCAGTACCGTGCATGGCGTGCGTGCGTACGGCGTTACGTACATCGACTAAGTGTTGCCGCCTTGTGGATTATGTACTATTCGTACTCGAGTTAGTGTCTACCGGGGCCTTACTCGAGTTGAGCTTACTCGATCGACTGGGACGAGGTTAAGCGTAACTCGGTTAATGCTAACTCGAGTAAAGGCCTTGTAGACATTTAACTCGAGTTAGGTTCGTCGTGTAGCGAGGCTGAGTCATGAGATGTATGAAGCTGGATGAGGTCTGGTGTGGTCGGGGAGTGCCGCACTCCTTTTATTCTTTGTGCAAGATGGACATACTGTGTGCGAGCATATATTAACGTTTATTCAGGTCACCACACAAGTTTGGATTTCTTCTTCATCATTTCTATATCAAAATTTTAATTCAACGTTACATTATAGTAAGTTATCCAATGTTTAGGCAATGTATGTGTTTACTATAAAGTGTTTAACATCATGTGATTAACATGTCAGTTGTTTAACCATACCTGTTATAGTATCAGGGGCCGGTTTCACGAAGCGTGATTAACTTTAATTATGATTAAATCACTAATCATGATTAACCTCCCGTTTCTGTTTCTGTATCTGTTTCACGAAGCGATTTAAGTACATATTTAACTAATCACATAATTAGCCGTCTTAAACATGAATTACACTGTATTCAAAATCGCGGACAATGCAAAAGTACCTGCGAAACAGTACCTGAAAAGGAATTAATTTGCAATTATAATTACTAAATTAGTACAGCTAATCTTAGATAATTAAAATATCATTGGGAAAAAATGGAAGTACAATTTCCAATTCTAAAATCTGCAGCCTACTTACTGTACTAGTACTATACATACATACTACTACTAGTACTAGCAACTAATTATGATTAGTGGATTTAATCATGCTCCTGAGTAGAATTAAATATTGTCATTAACTTAATCATGATTAAAGTTAATTACGCTTTGTGAAACAGTCACTTCAATTTAACTACGGGAGGTTAATCATGATTAGTAATTTAATCATGATTAAGGACTTAATTACGCTTCGTGAAACCGGCCCCAGGTGTTTAAAGCACCGCATGTGTTTAAGATCGAAAGTGTTTCACAGGTGTTTAACATGGCAGCTGTTTCACCTTTTGTGTGTTTGTGACAGGTTTTCCACGCTGTACACGATGTTTCCCGTGTTCTCTCTCGTTTTGGACTCCGATGTGTCATCAGAGGTGGCCCTCACCTACCCAGAACTCTACAAGGAGCTGACGAAGGGAAGATCACTGTCTTTCAAAACCTTTTTCATTTGGGTGCTCATCAGTATATATCAAGGTGAGAGCACACTAGATGGTATGGGATTGCACGTAAAACTCACACTCACTCGTTCCCAAATGATTAATGCTAACTTTACTGTTACATTTGACATTTTACCTTGGAATATTAGAGTTGAAATTACATCATATCTTCGCATAATGAGATCACGGGTTCCCTTACCTTATCCTAACTCACCCTAAGCTATCTTACTTTCGGCGGAGGTTGGCCACCTCCTCCCACCAGCTATCATTACAGTAATACTATACCAGCGAGCCAGCCAGTACGTAGATTACTATACCGCATGCACAGCAGCCGCGCACTAACGTGGTTTATCTCTCGCTGGCATCGTGCAGGCGGCATCATCATGTACGGAGCGTTCCTGCTGTTTGACGCGGAGTTCATCCACGTCGTCGCAATCACGTTCACTGCCCTCATCCTCACCGAGCTGCTCATGGTTGCGCTCACCATCCGCCGCTGGCACTGGACGATGGCCGTCGGTGAGCTGCTCAGCCTCGCCATCTACCTGCTCTCACTCGTCATCCTCAACGACTACTTCGGTGAGTTTGGGAGTATACCGTGACGCCACCTGTGGGGATTCGGCTAACCGGTTGTTTGTCATTTTCCGTTCAAATTAAGGTTTCAACCGTGTGAAACTCGTGCAAAATGCATGGATTCATGCATTTGGTATGTATATTTTTGTGTGGATATGTTGCGTTTTGTTGGCAGTATTGACCATCGTGTTTTTTAGTGGTTTATTGCACAAACATGGCTGTACAGGTTTGTGCCAAAGGACAAAGGTGATTCTGAGAGGATGTCACCCCCTTTCCACCCCAGTGAAATGTCTTGGTTATATTAGTGTGACCAATGAAGATTGGGTGTTTACTCATTTTGCATTCATAGGATTTATTATTTCATGTGATTGAGTACTGGTTTAAAAGAATAATAGTCCCATTGATTATGCAAAGTTGACGAATGCTACAGTAACTGGCACCTTGTGTAGTTAATAAGTACATTACCTTATAGCCAAACGCGTATTAGTTTGTCCGATATCACTGCTGGTTACTAAGAAATGTCAAATTGAAATCTGCAGTTCAAGAAATCAGTTGACTGACTTGTTTACAGTTTCAAAACCGCATACGGTGAAACGGGTGTAATACAGATTTATAGTGCACCGGACATTTTCGCATGCATGCTTGGCCGTACGCAATGCTAGCGATAGTACAGTACTGTAACTGCATACGTAACAGTAGCTCTGATTGTAATGAACGTGGAATCCACGTATGAATCACGGACGCTCGTGATAATCAAGTAGGCTGTGGGGGGGGGGCAATACTATGGGGATATCGCGGAATAACCACGGCCACAGACTAAACATGGAAAGCAGATTGCACTACGCGTATTTACATATATTGGTCAAACGAATACACCTCTGTGTCCGAAATTTAAGACATGTGGGTACCCGTTCATTATCACCCACGGTTATTTACTTGTGCCTCAATACCGAGAATACACCCATGCAGAGATACATTCTACTAGCTCATTAGTCGTTATAAGCATCTCGGGACAAACAATTCTTTGCTCAACACCCGTAGCAACATGTGACATCACCTAACTGTTTCGAGGCTATTTTGCTTGGCAAACAATCTAGCGTTGACGCCAGATTACCAGATTTACGGATTTCAATTAGACTTTGCTTAGTAATTAGCAGTGATATTGTACAAACTAATACGCGTTTGGCTATAAGGTAATGTACTTATTAACTACACAAGGTGCCAGTTACTGTAGCATTCGTCAACTTTGCATAATCAATGGGCCTATTATGCCTATAAGTTATTTTGCATCTAGTTTTAATAGATGGGCTCGTAAAGTGAGTGTTGAGATGGTATACACACCACATTGTTGCTCTCTAGGTTTTACATTGTCACATTTTACTCCGGCAGATGCATCTTTCATATCGACGTGGGACTTCATATGGAAGGTGACAAGCATCACACTGGTCAGCTGTCTACCACTCTACATACTCAAATATTTGCGCAAGAGATTCTCGCCTCCCAGCTACCAGAAGTTGACCTAGTCGTCGCTAAACTGTCTTCCTCAGTGATGCATGCAAACACTAGCTCCACCTGTGTGCCTGAATGTGAATGTCGTGTTACATATCTGCCAATCCCGAATCTGTTTCGTGGACTACTTTGATGTAGGTTTGCTACGATTTAGCGTCGAGGTTAGCTATGTGAGGAATTTATTTATTGATGTACATAGGTTATGAACTAATGTTGGGTGGATCTCTATGGAATATAATGAATCACTATTATGAGTGTAAATAATATATGCTCCCAAATCAATCAAATCCTCTATCCATCTATCTATCTTTGTGTGTGTGTGGCAGTGTTGTAGTCGAGTCCAAAAAAAGGGAAAAAAGGGAAAAAATCGCAACAGTGCATCGTAGACATTCGAAAGTGTATAGTCAGCCGAAAACACAGAGACATGAGTCATACGAAACGTGTCAAAGTAACGGATCCATTTGTGTTTTACGAGAATGACACGGCTTGTTGAACCAAATGAGAGAGTGCTAGTACCTTCGAAGTGGTAGAAGAAAAGAAAGAAGTGGTAGAAAAAACGCAAAGGAACGAAGTGACAGCAGATTCAAACCAAAGGGACAAGATCTTAATCGAGCCATTGAAAACGTTACAAGATTAGGCCGTGTATCTAGAAAACCTAGGAGTTTTAGTTTTAAATTGTTGTAAACTGTGTGTTACAATATGTACAGTTGTGTACTATGTATGTAGTGGCCTCGAGCCGGCCTCGACCCGAGTCCTTGAGTCCGGAGGGCTTGAGTACGAGTCCGAGTCAGAGTCGTTGCACTCCGAGGCCAAGACCGAGACCGAGACCAAGGAAAACGGTCTCGAGGCCAAGACCGGCCTCGATGCCTACAACACTGGTGTGTGTGTGTGTGTGTGCGTGTGCGTGTGTATGTATGTATCAGGAGTAAATCATCATAAAGGAGTTTGACACATATGTTCCTGGATTTTTAGCTCATCTGACAAAGTCAGATGCAGCTTGTAGAATTGCATGATTGTCCCCCCGTGCGTGCGTCAACAGTTGGGCACAAATCTTAACTGCTCGACGTACGGTCACGATATTCGGGACGTGGGGGGGTAATCCGAAAACGAGTTGGGATGTCGAAGCTGGGGGTCAGAGGTCAAAGGTCAAGAGGTGTAAAAGAAGGGGGAACATTTCCTCCTTAACTTAAGGTATAGGGAGGAAATGCAGAATTGCGGCACAAATCTAAACCGCTTGACCTAGGCTCGTGATAGTCGGTGTATAGCATCATGGTAGGAAAAGACATCACTGTGCCGAAATTGGAGGTCACAAGTCAAAGATAAATGGGGCACGGCAGATTTTAGACATTTTCTGAGGACATGGTCTGACGGAGCGATTGAATTTTGTTTCAGCGGTGACCTACCATTTTTATGGCTTTATTGAAAGGACCATGAAATGTACTTTCCGCTGACATGCGAAGAGTAAGTGTCGGATAATCTTTTGACCCTCAAGAGGAAGGTTAAACATTGATTTGTTGACTGTTAACAAAGGACTGAACTGCTTTTGCTATTATTAGAGCCCATACCTGTGTGAATGTGAGGCTACAGTTGCACAGTTTAATTGCAAAGGTAAATGTTTGTTGAACAAAGTTTACGCTCCTTAGATCATATTATTTTCTAAAGCAGTCTGTCTATAGCACTCTGAATGCTGAATCAGTGAATGCTTGCGTGGGTAAGCAAAAACACGGGGCAGCCCATGGCTGGCACGCTTCTAATCATAATTGTTGCCTGCCAACCTGCAATGCACATGTGTTAACTCACAGCTGAGCGAAATTATCGCCTGCCTGAATATACTTACTTGGATTTTAGCCTGTAGGATTTCAGGAACTCCCCAGGGAGCTAGAAGGGCGATGCCATCTTTGATTATTGATTACACTTGCACGTGCCATCTCGCGGCAACTATAGGCCTAGTTTAAATTAGATTTTATTCTCAAGTAACTTTGTTAAACGAATAAATAATAACTAGTGTAATGGGTCGTATTACGTTTCAGTTCGTGTAGATAGTTGATGTGATCATATAGTTAGATATTGTTCTTCATCTTGCATTGTGTTATTAACTGTTCTTTACCCGTAGTCTTGTTTCGTGTTTGCGGTGAGCTTGAAGGAGATGTCAGATAATGTTCTGTGTTTGGTGCGGCGTAGTAGCGTAGATAATACTAATGATTAAACACAAATCCATGAATGAGTTTTCCACGCATAGTAATTTATTGTTGCTCACAGTACAATCGTGAACAAAGACTCCAGAAAAGGTATCAACACAATATATGCTTCTTTTTGTTCGTCCGTCTGTACATCTGTCAGTTTCTGAGTCTGTCCGTCAGTCTTTGAGTCCGTCTGTCATTCTTTTCAACACCGTCGATATATGCGTGCGTACAAGGAGAGAGAACCCCCTTTCCGCTTCCAAGGTGTGTCGTATATATACAACCAGCCAGGTGACGTCATCTTACTCTATGCACGTGCGGGACCATGCGATTTACACGTGTGTAGGCTCTCGCCTAAGATCAAGTTAACAGGTGTAAGATCGAGTTGACATTTTACAAAATCATGTTCTACTCACGTGTGCTAGGTTACAAATGCGCACATCCTGTATTCTAAGAATTCTACACAGGTCCGGTGTCTACGCAGTTAGAAACTGACATCCTGGGTGTTGGCTTATTGCATACACATAATTATATACTTTACCAATCAACATTTTCTAATTACTACATATTAACTGGGCACTGTTACACCACTCCCATCGCAATTTACTTTCGTGACTTGATGTCACAAAGTGTAGTTCTAAAACACAGCAAACATATAAACACACAACATTAAACATAAACGATTAACGAACATTAAACAATTTCTTTTTCCTTATGACACATTTACCTAACACCAACCGATTGCCTAATACCAACCGGAAAAACAATCGACTTATATTAGGGTGCACCAACTTCTTTTAGTCGCCTCGTACGACATGCAGAAGATGCAGTAGACGTATTCTGTTCGCTGGGCCTACACTGCAATTTTAATGAAATGTCAATGGCCTTTCAAGGGCGCACACATCCATCTTCATCTATCTTCACTTTCTTGATCTATTTATCCAAACACACAACATTAACCATAAACAATTAACTAACATTACACTATAAAAACAGGAAAGTACCCATACCACCTGATCAAGTGGAAAAAGAACCATGTGGGCAAAGACCTTCGGCCGTGCCCCCTTCAATGCAGGGCATGTCATCCCATCGGTCGATCAAAGACTTCAATTACTCACCATCCCTGACAACAACTGGACTGATAACAATGGAGTTATACAAAGACGCACAAATGAAGGTGTGCGCGTATGATCGCGTGCACAGGATCTCAGCTGCAAAGTACACAGCCAGACACGCGTTACAAGAATTAATAAAGAAAAAAAAATTCAAATTCAAAGGTGTAGCAAGATTTTACGGCTGGATGCCCTTCCTGACTCCAACTCCGTTTAGTCGACTTCTACGACATGCAGGAGATACAGTAGGAGTATTCGCTCGCCGGGCCTACACGGCTAATAGTGAAATACAAAACCGAACCACAACACTGCAAACCGAATAATAAGGTCACTATCTATATAACCATACAAATAAATCTTACTAAACTATTAGTACAAGACGATGTGCCGACACAATGTGCGTGGTACATACGCAGTAAACTAAAACCCATGCCTGTTTTTTTTAAACGCCCAAAAATAAATGTAACTCAATGGTTTCTCTTTGCGCCTCGCACGAAGGAAGCGGAGGGGGAACAACGCGGGGGGTTGCGTAGTGTGCGGCAACTGACCCCAGCAACGCCGACCCTAGAGCTGGGCCCTGCGCAAGGGTAGGCGAAGCGACTGGCCCAGTCGCAACACGAGCGGGGCGGGGTGGAGAACGGCGACACCTACAACAGACAGTAGGCGTGCCAGTGCGCAGAGGTAACACACTGCAACTACATCGCCTATGGCGATCAGTGCATAAACAACAAACTGCTGCTATTGCAACCCTGAAAAAACGCGAGAATCATCAGACGGGGCAAATGCATCACCTGCATCCAAAATAGTACGACTACTAGCTATCAAATCTTTGAGTTTATCGTACAAAAGATCAAATTATTTATTCGCATACAGCTTAGGAGGTAAAATTGAAGCAGGTAGCAGATCCGTATTATTGCCACGATGAACGGCGACGGCAGCCAAATTACGCCAAATAGTGGGTATTGGCAGTTGCGGTGGCAACATTTGCTGTATATAGCTCGTGATATTTACACGAGAATCATGGTGGTAATGAGTGGGCAACGTGAATGAACGTGAATGCGCTGAACAGCCGGAAGTCAGTGACAACCTGTTGAGATAAAATTCGGATGTCTGTATTAACAGGGGGTGAATCATTAACCGAGTGACATGACCAAGTCAAGGTAAATGGTCTAATTGCAGAAATCAACCAGTTACCAATGGTAAGATACGCTACATGGTGCTGCTGCTGCCGAGCAATGTTAATTCGTCGGGGACAACGCTGCGGGATCTGCTCCTCGTGATGAAAGAAAAGGGCAACTATACAGTCAAAAGAACTAGCAACATAATAGATCTCGGAGGCAGACTGACAAATATCGTGATTGTTATCTATGCATTCTCTCATGCGATCGACCTTAGGGAAAAAATAACGTGCTCTATTTTGTGCAAATGCCACGTAACGTGGACTTCTATCATAATAGACATAAGCTGTAGAATTTGGAATGAAAACCGGTGTAGGTATAATCTGATATACATCAAAAATCTGGCCAACATGTTTTAATGGTAAAAACGTTAGCACGTGAAAAGACGTCGCAGTGGGCACTACAACTGTCTCGAGCAAATCATAATAATAAAGTATATCCTCATCAATAGCTCGTGGCAAAGCCAGACAATCAGGTAGCGTGTCTTTAACGGCGCCCAACAATGTGCGTAACTGTACCGGCGAGATAAGGGATATCGCTAATTTTCCCGTCAGGAGATCGCTAAGCACCTGTTCCAAATCTGCAATGACACTCGTAATATCATTAAGCGTCATCATTAAAGCATCAGTCCCAGACTGAAGCTGTGCGAGTAGGGCAAATTTATCATTGGTGGACTCCGCGAATCGGTCAAACCAATGACTAACTTTAATTAAAAATTTTCGCAATTCATCCGTACCACCGATAAGATTATTAATAGTCACTCTGTTGATGTATGTGAAACTTGAATATCACACCTGAGTGTGGGTAAGATTAAAAACTGCCAGGCTGTCTTTTAACGCATGCTGGAAAGCATCCTGTGA